GCCACAAAAGCCCCACCTGCACCAGGCACAGCTCGCCGGGCGACGCCGAGGCGCTGCCTAGCGCCCACTGGCCGCGCGTGGCCGCCGCCTCCTGGATCTCCCGGCTCAGCCGCAGGTACTCGCCCCGCCGCTCGCCCACCAGTCCCCACAGCTGCACCGGGATCACGTCGGGATGCACGTCCACGAAAGACACCCGCAGGGCCAGCGAGGCCCCGGGCGCCGGCAGCCCAGGCGTCGAGCACATCTTGACCGCCCCCACTTCCGGAAAGTCAGAGCCGCGAAATCCTCCGCGCCGCCGGAAGGTGAGTCCCAGCCAAATTAGGCTCAAAGGACCCAGGGGACGGGAAGGACGCCCGGCGAGGCGCCTCCTCGGCAATGCTCCTGTCGAGGTGCCTCCGGCACTCGCGCCGGCTGACTGGTAAGACACGGTGGTCCCACCAACCGCCGGAAGTTGCGCCGCCCGGCACGCATTTACTGCGCGCGGCGCCGCCATTTCCGGCCGCGGGGAGTGGTCGGGCCGAGTGGAGGCCTGGGGTTGGCCTGACGCCTTAGGGCCCGAGGGACTTGGAGAGACATTCAGGAAGCCCTGAGGTGGGAGGTTTGGGACACAACCTGAGTCTGCGCAGAGCGCCTTCTACTCTGGAGGCCACTTGTGACGGCCTGGCACAGGGCTGTGGTGAGGACCGATTAGAGAGGGATTTCCTTTTTCGTCCTCCCAACTACCAGGGATTGAGCACTGAGGGTCAGGCACGATGCTAGCCAGTGGCGTCCCGGCAAGAAACCAGATCGAGAAACGCAGAAGCCAAAGGCACATTCCTAAGCGTTAAGGCCCGAACCCTCAGAGGGCCCTGGACCCTGCAGGGCACGTGTGCTCCTGTGGCTCAGTGTGTCCGTGGACAAGCAGGTGCTCAGCCTCTATTTTTTAACCGTTTTATCATCTGAATTGATAGAGTTATGAGGTTAAAATAATGTATGAAAGTATATAGCGACTAGTACATATTTCCTTTCCCACACTTAGCTGATATGGGTTCCTTTGCTGTTTAACTCTGGCATCCAAATTTGGAGGGCATTTTTCATTTACTCACGGAGCTAGCACAGAACTGGATTCGTAAAAGGAGGCCAGGAGGAATGGAATCAACATTCCTTCAAGCCCCTGCTGTATCTAAAAAATCTTACCAGGATAACCCTTTGAGGCCTCCATTTGTTAAATGTCCATACCGCTATTTGGAATGAAAAAATGCAGGCAAACTTTGAGAAGTTTCCAGGATATGTCTACATTAGATTTTTGTTCATTTGCAAAGTTAGGAACATCACTGGAAGCTTCTAACGGTTCACCTGGACTTTTCCTTTCACTCCATGTTTCGAAATGTCATTAAATACAGTAAGGCAGTGCTTAAAATGACCCTAGCCTAACTGTAAATCTCAGTGTCTTCAGTATGTCCAGATTACAGGCAACCATGTGCTTCCACATCACCCTATGCTGCTTTTTCACGGCACTTTTCACATTGTGTGGCAACTGTCTGATCTCTATCATCCTGCTAGCCGACAGGTTCCGTTTGGCAAGTACCATTTATTGGGCTCTTGGAATCTAGTTTGGAGTGGAGGCAATTAATATTTGCTAAATGAATATGAATGAATGAATGAATACAATTTCTTTACAAGCTTTGGCTTACTCCTGATGAACTCATCCTTCAAAATTCAATTTTCCCATTTTTCTAATTGTTTCTTATTCATTATGGAAGAAAAACGTTTGATTAAAAAACATCTAGCAAGACTTACCTCAAATATCTCTTCCTCATAACTCTACTATTCATCCTGGCAGAACTGATTATTCCTTTTTTTTTTAAACATCCTTCTCTATTATCTATTATATTTTGTAGCTCTCTACCTACCACAGTCTCCTTCTACCACAATAGGAATATCTTGAAAGCAGGAACTCTTCTCATTTATTTTTATGTTCTCGATGCCTAGCCAGTGCTGAACAATTAACATCCAGTAAATTTTAACAAAAGAGTAAGCAATCTAACACTATGCCCTTTACATTGGAAAGAAGGAATTCATTATAAAATGGTCTTAGGATTTCTTGAAATTGTTTTATCATCATCACATGGAATAACGGAGACTTCAATCCATCCTCTATTTCAGGTTCATGTAGTGTAACCAAACTCTTACATAGACTATAAGATTGTAAATATTAGGAATTCTTTTTTCTATTTAATTTGTCCTTCAACCTCCTTCCATGGCTCATGGCCTTAATCCTAGGATGTCAGGGTGTATCATGTGGCCATTATGAGACGATCAGAGTCTTTTCCGAAAACCCATCAACTCAGATGGTTTCCAATGTATCCCACCTTTTCTGTAGCTGGAGCAAATAGTATTCTGTTTTGCTCTGTTTTGGACAGGAACTTGGGTTATTTTTAAAAATCAGGTCATTGCGCTGTGAAGATTAAGGTCCCCTCATATATCCCCCATACTATATTAAGCAAAATAACTTGAATTTTATAATTAAAAAAAACTTCCTCCTATTATTCTTGAGAGGCCCTTGGTTTCGGAAAAGAAGGGAGAGGTGTAGGGCTAAGGGCCCCACAGGGTCGTGGGTTGTCCCTTAGAGACAGGACACAGAAGTACAAAGAAAGTACAGCTGGGCTCAGGGGGGCCACACCACCTATAAGTGGAGACAGGTGAGGCCCCGAATGTCCAGAGGCATCAGTATTTATTGTGTATAGGTTAAGGGGCAGGGTAGTGAGTGAAGTCATTTTTAAGGATAGTGATAGGGCCGTGAGCAATAAAACAAGGGGTCCACCCCCATTAGGTCACCTAGGCTAGGAGGTGGACAGTGCGCAGCAAGGGGTCCACCCCCATTAGGCCATCAAGGAAAGGAGGTGGGCCGTGTGCAGTAAGAGGTCCACCCCCATTAGGTCACTGAGGCATGGAGGTGGGCCTTGCGCAGTGAAGAGGGTGCAGTGTGCAGTAGGGCATGCTACTCCTAAGACTGTAAGAGGATGCTTAAGTCACACAGCAGTGGCAGAAATATCAGGGTGTACCACCACCTGTTGACAGCTTCCAATGAGTTCTATAGGAGGATGCTTTTGAGCTAGCACAGTAACAAGAGCTGATAAAGTTCACAGTCACCAAAGTGCAATTATCTGGAGGGGTTTTGAGCCCTAGAGTGCTTGAGGGATTGCTGGTCTGAGGACAGCCTTCGTCCTACAATTCCATCAGGAGTAGTGGCTCTTGCCCTAAGCCTGCCGTACAGTGGATATTTGGGCCATGGATTCTTGTCCTGGTATAACTGTTTTCCCCTAAATCATGCTCTGCACCGTGTCTGCTCTAGACATTCCTCCGACTATAAGCTGCTTATTCCTTAATTCATGCTGTGTACTGTGTCTGCTCTAGGCATTCCTCCAATTATGAATTAAGATATAGTTTTATATATATATATATATATATATATATATATATATATGGAAATAACTGAGTGGTAAGACTATAAACTGAGATATTGTTTAAGCTCTAATTCTATAAACTAATATATGATTATTTATAAAGGATTATATAAGAGGAAATAACTGAGTAGTAATCACTGTAAACTGAGATAGTCTTCAGGCACTAATTGTGCCAGGATTTTGCTTAGCTGTCCTTCCTCAGTGCCTGCATGGGGGGTTACCCACAAGAGGGGATGTTCTTTTCCTAATACAAACATGTAAAGGATAAAGGGGGAAAGGATAAGGCCAGGGATGGAATGTGTATGACAGGTGTTTGAATAATAATTGTGAGCCACTTCAATATTTTTTATGGAAACAAGATGCAGGAAAATTGGGCAAAACAAATAAATCATATTTAATTTTTGCTATCTTAGACCTGTGTATATAGAGAACTATAAGCAGAAATGCAGTATACTGTACAATCTATAGTTTTTTACTACTAGTTGGCCTTGTTTAAAGTTGCTTAGAAAAATTAACATTCACTGGATATTTTTAGAAAATAATTCAAGTAAGAAATACCCTGTTAGGAGAATGAAAAAGACAAACTACAGATAGGGAGAAAATATTTGCAAACCATATGTCTGACCTAGGACTTGTAGCTATAATATATAAACGACCCTCAAAACCCAATAGTAAGAAAATCAATTTGAAAATGGACAAAATATATGAAATGGCATTTCACTGAGGAGGATATACAAATGACAAATAAGAATCTGAAAAGATTCTCAATATCATTAGCTATTAGACAAAAAAAAAAACACACATTGATAGATCACTACATGCCATTGATAATGACTAAACTAATAAATAGTGATAACACCAGTACTGGCAAGAATGTGAATAAACTGCATCACTCATGTTGCTGGTGGGAATGTAAAATGGTACAGCCACGTTTTAAAAACTATGTACTTCCCATATGACTGAGAAATTGCAGTTAGGCATTTATCCCAAAGAAATGAAAACATGCTCATGCAAAAACCTGTACATGAATGTTAATAGCAACTATATTCCTAATAGCCCTAAACTGGATACAACCTAAATGCCCTTCAATGGGTAAATTGTTAAACAAACTGTGGTACATCAATACCAAAGGGTCCTACATGGCAGTAACAAGAAAAATGAACTATTGGTATGTGCAACAGCTTAGGAAGGTTCTCTGGAGAATTTTATTGAGTGAAAAAAATAGCAAAACATTACATACTGCATTATTCTATTTATGTAATATTCTTAGATTAACAAATTTATAAAGATGGAGAAAAGATAAGTGGCTTCCAGTAGATAGCGATGGGGGAGAAAAGAGATGAATGTGCCTGTAAAGGGATAGCATCAGTCATGGGCTGATGAACAGTTCTGTATCTTGTGTGTAGTGATAGTTATCAAAGCTACACAAAAGTGATGAAATTGCTTGGAATGACACAGACACACACACACACACACACACAGACACACACACACACACACACAGAAAGAGAGAAATATGTGCTTGTAAATGAGACTTTGGAATCCGTGGATTGTACCAATGTCAATTAGTTTTGTGTGTAACAGTAATGGTGCATCCTGTAAAGGTTTTGAAACTTTATGAAAATCTAAAATTATGTAAAAATAAAAAGTTTTTAAAAATTCTAAGAAATTAAGATTCCAGTGTCCCAAGATAAAATTTTATTAGAATACATACACAGACAACTCGAGACCAGATGATCCTGGGGGCAATGAGAGTAGAGAGAGCATAGGCCTTTGAGTTACAGCAGGATTAGCTTCCATTTGTAAAAGCCCCGTGACACAGGCAAATCATTTACCCTTACACTTTGGTTGTGAGGACTGCATGAATTAACGTAAATATAGTTAACATGTTTGCATTAAATAAATACTTGAGATGCAACAAAACATAGTGGGAAAAGGAAGGGCTTTATATTTGCAAGTCCCTGTTTATCATCTCAGGGTGACATGGATAATACAATGTTCTGAGTTAGGTTATTCATCTGTAAAAATGGAACAATACTTATATATGAAGACCAAATGAGCCAATATGGGTAAAAGATCCTTCACAGTAAACATGTAATAAGTTGTAGTTATTAGTAATATGAACGAAATAAAAACTTAAAAATATGTTCTCTCCTAGGATTCTTAAAAATTAAAAATCTTAAATTGGGTTTTTAAAAAATTTGATCTATTTAGTCAATTTTTGCACAGTAAAACTCAACCCTTTTATATTGTACAATTTGATGATATTTTAACAAATGTTTATAGTTTTATTCCCTTAAGTAGTGTCTTTTGAAGAAAAAAGTTTGTAATTTTAATGAAATCAAATTATTAACAAATTTTTCTTTTCTAAATGGTAGTTTGTTTTGTTGTTATTGTTCAAAGAAATCTTTTCCTAACCCAAGGTAAAACAAAACAAAACAAAACCTGACAAAAACAAACTTTCAGTGTTTTTGTTTAGAAGTTTTATAATTTTAGCTCTTGTATTTACGTCTATAATTAATTTTAAATTAACTTTTGGTAGTGAGGTAGGGTTGAGGGTTTTATTTTTTCATATGAATATCCAATTGTTATGGTGCCATTTGTTGACTATACTTTCCAGATTAAATTATCTTGGTGTTTGTGCCAAAAATTAATTGACCATATGTATGTGAGTTTATTCTTTGACTCTTTGTTGCGTTCCATCAATCTATATATCTGTCTTTGTGCCATTGTTTTGATTTTCTAAACTGCTTTTTTTCCCCCATTTATTTATTTTATTGAATTTTAGGTTTAAAAGCCAATTTTTAAATGAGATAATATGAATCCTCTAACTTTGTTATTTTTCCTCAAAATTGTTTTGGCTACTTAAGGTCTTTTATTTTCTATATGTATTTTAGAACATACTTGTTAATTTCTGCAAAAAATTAAAAATATTTTGGGGTTTTATTAGAATTGCATTGTAGATAGAGATCAATTTGATGAGAATTAACTTTGAAGCAATGTTGAATCTTTTAATTCATGGACACAGTTCATCGCTCTATGAAAATCTTTAGTTTCTCTCAGCAATGTTTTAAATTTTTCAGTGAACAAACCTTGGACATATTTGTTAGATTTATCCCAAGTTTTTAATGTTTTATGCTATTGTAAATAATATTAATTTTAAATATTTTAGTCCCCAGTTTTTCATTGCCAGTATACCAAGATATATTTTTGTATATTGGCCTTATATCTTATAAATGTGCTTGGACTTCATTAGTAGTTCTTGTAACTTTTCGTAGATTCCTTGGGATTTTTTTTATACATAGTTATATCATCTGTAAATAAGGCAGTTCTATGTCTTTTAACATGTGTGCCTTTTATTTCCTTTTCGTGCTTTACTGAAATGGTTAAGAACTTCAGTACAGATTAGAATAAAATGGTTAGAACTGATATTTTGGTTTTGCTTCTGATTTAAGGAGAAAGTCTTTCACCAATACAATGTTAGCTACAGGCTTTACTTAGATCCTTTTTATCAGGTTGAGGAAGTTTCCTTTTTTTGCTATGTTATTGAGAATTTTTATCATCAAATACTATTGAATTTTATCAAAATACTTGTTCACATCTTATTGATGTATGTTTTGTCTTTTTTTGTGTGTGTTAATTGGGTGAATTATATTGATTTTTTAAGATGTTGAACCAATTTTGTATTTCCAGGATAAACCTCACTTATTCATAATGTATTATATTTTATATAAGCTGGATTCAATTTGCTAATATTTTTTAACATCTATGTGCAGGGATTTTTAAATTTTCTGTTTATTGTCATAAAATATACGTAAAACAAACCTTACCATTTAAACCATTTTTTTTTCTTTTTTTAATTGCATTTTAGGTTTTGGGGTACATGTGAAGAACATGCAAGATTGTTGCATAGGTACACACATGGCAGTGTGATGTGCTGCCTTCCTCCCCATCACCTACATCTGGCATTTCTCCCCATGCTATCTCTCCCCACCTCCCCACCCCTCGCTGTCCCCCCCCATTTCTCCCCAGCAGACCCCAGTGTGTGATGCTCCCCTCCCTGTGTCCACGTGTTCTCATTGTTCAACACCCACTTATGAGTGAGAACATGTGGTGTTTGATTTTCCGTTCTTGTGTCTGTTTGCTGAGAATGATGGTTTCCAGGTTCATCCGTGTCTCTACGAAGGACACAAACTCATCATTTTTGATGGCTGCATAATATTCCATGGTGTATATGTGCCACATTTTCCCTGTCCAATCTATCATCGATGGGCATTTGGGTTGGTTCCAGGTCTTTGCTATTGTAAACAGTGCTGCAATGAACTTTCGTGTGCATGTGTCCTTATAGTAGAACGATTTGTAATCCTTTGGATATATACCCAGTAATGGGATTGCTGGGTCAAATTGAATTTCTATTTCTAGGTCCTTGAGGAATCGCCACACTGTCTTCCACAATGTTTGAACTAATTTACACTCCCATCAACAGTGTAAAAGTGTTCCTATCTCTCCACATCCTCTCCAGCATCTGTTGTCTTAATGATGTGCCATTCTAACTGGCGTGAGATGGTATCTCAATGTAGTTTTGATTTGCATTTCTCTTATGACCACTGATGATGAGCCTCATGTATGTCTTATTTTGTAAAGTGTCTGTTGATATCCTTCGTCCGCTTTTGAATGGGCTTGTTTGTTTTTTTTCTGGTAAATCTGTTTTAGTTCTTTGTAGATTCTGGATATCAGCCCTTTGTCAGATGGGTAGATTGCAAAATTTTTTTCCCATTCTGTTGGTTGCCGATTCACTTTAATGACTATTTCTTTTGCTGTGCAGAAGCTGTGGAGTTTGGTTAGGACCCATTTGTCTATTTTGGCTTTTGTTGCCAATGCTTTTGGTGTTTTGGTCATGAAGTCCTTGCATATGCCTATGTCCTGAATGGTTTTGCCTAGATTTTCTTTTAGGGTTTTTATGGTGTTAGGTCTTTTGTTTGAGTCTTTAATCCATCTGGAGTTAATTTTAGTGTAAGGTATCATATGGGGTCCAGTTTCTGCTTTCTGCACATGGCTAGCCAGTTTTCCCAACACCATTTATTAAACAGGGACTTCTTTCCCCATTGCTTGTTTTTGTCAGGTTTGTCAAAGATTGGATGGGGGTAGATGTGTTTTGTTGCCTCCAAGGCCTCTGTTCTGTTCCATTGGTCTATATCTCTGTTTTGTTACCAGTACCATGCTGTTTTGATTACTGTAGCCTTGTAGAATAGTTTGAAGTTCGGTAGTGTGATGCCTCCCGCTTTGTTCTTTTTGCTTAGAATTGACTTGGCTATGCAGGCTCTCTTTTGGTTTCATATGAAGTTTAAGATGTTTTTTCCAGTTCTGTGAAGAAGGTCCTTGGTAGCTTGATGGGGATAGCATTGAATCTGTAAATTACTTTGGGCAGTATGGCCATTTTCATGGTACTGATTCTTCCTAACCATGAACATGGAATGTTTCTCCATCTGTTTGTGTCCTCTCTTATTTCTTTGAGCAGTGGTTTGTAGAATTCCTTGAAGAGGTCCTTTATGTTCCTTGTTAGTTGTATTCCTAGGTATTTTATTCTCTTTGTAGCAATTGTGAATAGGAGTTCACTCTTTATTTGGTTCTCTTTAAGTCTGTTATTGGTAAAGAGGAATGCTTGTGATTTTTGCACATTGATTTTGTATCCTGAGACATTGCTGAACTTGCTTATCAGTTTCAGGAGATTTTGGGCTGAGACGATGGGGTCTTCTGGATATACAATCATGTCATCTGCAAATAGAGACAATTTGACTTCCTCCTTTCCTATTTGAATACCCTTTATTTCTTTTTGTTGCCTGATTTCTCTGGCTAGAACTTCCAATACTATATTGAATAGGAGTGGTGAGAGAGGGCATCCTTGTCTAGTGCCAGATTTCAAAGGGAATGTTTCCCGTTTTTCCCCTTTTAGTATGATATTGGCTGTTGGTTTGTCATAAATAGCTTTTATTCTTTTGAGATACATTCCGTGAATACCTAGTTTATTGAGGGTTTTTAGCATAAAGGGCTGTTGAATTTTGTCAAAGGCCTTCTCTGCATCAATTGAGATAATCATGTGGTTTTTATCTTTGGTTCTGTTTATGTGGTGAATATGTTTATAGACTTAACGTATGTTGAATCAGCCTTGCATCCCCAGATGAAGCCTACTTGATCATGGTGAATGAGCTTTTTGATGTGCTGTTGCAATCCGTTTGCCAGCATTTTATTGAAGATTTTTGCATCTATGTTTATCATGGATATTGGCCTGAAGTTTCCTTTTCTTACTGAGTCTCTGCTGGGTTTTAGTATCAGGATGATGTTGGTCTCATGAAATGATTTGGGAAGGATTCCCTCTTTTTGGATTATTTCGAATAGTTTCAGAAAGAATGGTACCAGCTCCTCTTTATATGTCTGGTAGAATTCAGCTGTGAACCCAATTGGAACTGGGCTTTTTTTGGGTGCTAGACTCTTAAGTGCTGCCTCAACTTCAGACCTTGTTATTGGTCTATTCCGGATTTCGACTTCTTCCTGGTTTAGGCTTGGGAGGATGCAAGTGTTCAGGAAGTTATCCATTTCTTCCAGGTTTACTAGTTTATGTGCATAGAGTTGTTTGGAATAATCTCTGATGACGGTTTGTATTTCTGTGGATTTGGTGGTGATATCCCCTTTATCATTTTTTATTGCATCAAATTGGTTATTCTGTCTTTTCTTTTTTATTAATCTGGCTAGTGGTCTGTCTATTTTGTTGATCTTTTCAAAAAACCAGCTCCTGGATTTATTGATTTTTTGAGAGTTTTTGTGTCTCTATCTCCTTCATTTCTGCTCTGATCTTAGTTATTTCTTGTCTTCTGCTAGTTTTGAGTTTTTTCATCTTGTTCCTCTAGCTCTTTTAATTTTGATGATGGGGTGTCGATTTTAGATCTTTCCTTGCTTCTCATGTGGCAATTTATTGCTATATATTTTCCTCTAGACACTGCTTTAAATGTGTCCTAGAGATTCTGGTATGTTGTGTCTTCGTTCTTATTGATTCGAAGAACATCTTTATTTCTGCCTTCATTTCATTGTTTATCCAGTCAACATTCAAGAGCCAGTTGTTCAGTTTCCATGAGGCTCTGTGTTTCTGAGTTAGTTTCTGAATTCTGGGTTCTAACTTGATTGCACTGTGATCTGAGAGACTGTTTATTATGATTTCTATTCTTTTGCATTTGCTGAGGTGTGATTTACTTCCAATTATGTGATAAATTTTAGAGTAGGTATGATGTGGTGCTGAGAAGAATGTATATTCTGTGGATTTGGGGTGGAGAGTTCTGTAAATGTCTATCAGGTTTGCTTGGTCCAGGTCTGAGTTCAAGTCCTGGATATCCTTGTTAATTTTCCGTCTGGTTGATCTGTCTAATGTTGACAATGGGGTGTTAAAGTCTCCCACTATTATTGTGTGGGAGTCTAAGTCTCTTTGTAAGTCATTAAGAACTTGCCTTATGTATGTGGGTGCTCCTGTATTGGGTGCATATATATTTAGGATCATTAGCTCTTCTTGTTGCATTGATCCTTTTTCCATTAATGTCCTTCTTTGTCTCTTTCAGTCTTTGCTGGTTTAAAGTCTATTTTATCAGAGATGAGAATTGCAACTCCTGCTTTTTTTTGCTCTCCATTTGCTTGGTACATCTTCCTCCATCCCTTTATTTTGAGCCTTTGTGTATCCTTGCATGTAAGATGGGTTTCCTGGATACAGCACACTGATGGGGTTTGGCTTTTTATCCAATTTGCCAGTCTGTGTCTTTTGATTGGGGCATGAAGCCCATTTACATTTAGGGTTAATATTGTTATGTGTGATTTTGATCCTGCCATTTTGATGCTATCTTGCTGTTTGCCTATTAGTTGATGCAGTTTATTCATTGTGTTGATGCTCTTTACCATTTGGAACATTTTTGGTGTGGCTGGTACTGGTTATTTCTTTCTTTGTTTAGTGTCTCTTTCAGGAGCTCTTGTAAAGCAGACCTAGTGGTGATGAAATCTCTAAGTACTTGCTCATTCACAAAGGATTTTATTTTTCCTTCACTTATGACGCTTGGTTTGGCTGGATATGAAATTCTGGGTTGAAAGTTCTTTTCTTTAAGGATGTTGAATATTGGCCGCACTCTCTTCTGGCGTGTAGGGTTTCTGCTGAGAGATCTGCTGTGAGTCTGATGGGCTTCCCTTTGTGGGTAACCCGACCTTTCCCTCTGGCTGCCCTTAGCATTTTTCCTTCATTTTAACTTGGTGAATCTGACGATTATGTGCCTTGGGGTGGCTCTTCTTGAGGAATATCTTTGTGGTGTTCTCTGTGTTTCCTGGACTTGAATATTGGCCTGTCTTGCTAGGTTGGGGAAGTTTTCCTGGATAATATCCTGAGGAGTATTTTCCAGCTTGGATTCATTCTCTCCGTTATATTCAGGTACACCTATCAAACATAGATTAGGTTTTTTCACATAGTCCTGTATTTCTTGGAGACTTTGTTCATTCCTTTTTACCCTTTTTTCTCTAATCTTGCCTTCTTGTTTTATTTCATTGAGTTGATCTTCATCCTCTGATATCCTTTCTTCTGCTTGTTCAATTCAGCTGTTGAAACTTGTGTATGCTTCCCGAACTTGCATTTTTCAGCTCCATCAATTCACTTATATTCCTCTCTAAGTTGTTTATTCTCGTTAGCATTTCATAAAATCTTTTTTCAAGGTTCTTAGTTTCTTTACATTGGGTTAGAACATGTTCTTTTAGCTCACAGAAATTTCTGATTACCCACCTTCTGAAGCCTGATTCTGTCAATTCATCACAGTCATTCTCCATCAGGCCTTGTTGCCTTGGTGGTGAGGAGTTGTGATCCCTTGTAGGAGGAGAGGCGTTCTGGTTTCGGGTGTTTTCATCCATTTTGTGCTGGTTTCTTCCCATCTTTCTGGATTTATCCACCTGTTGTCTTTCTGGTTGTTGACTTTCAGATTGAGTCTCTGAGTGGATGTCCGGTTTGTTGATGATGAAGTTATTTCTTTCTGTTTCTTAGTTTTTCTTCTAACAGTCAGGCCCCTCTGCTGTAGGACTGCTGAGGTCCACTCCAGGACCTTCTTGCCTGGGGATCACCTGCAGTGGTTTCAGAACAGTAAGGGCTGCTGCCAGTTTCTTCTTCCACTATCTTTGTCCCAGAAGGATACCCGCCAGATGTCAGTCTGAGCTCTCCTTTATGAGGTGACTGTTTGGATATACGGGGGTCAGGGAGCTGCTTGAGGAGACAGTCTTTCCTTTATAGGAGCTCAAGTGCTGAGCTGTGAGCTCCGTTGTTCATTCAGAGCTGCTGGGCAGGTATGTTTAAGTCTGCTTCAGTAGAACTCATAAATTCCCTTTTCCCCAGGTGCTCTGTCCCAGGGAGTTAGGGCATTATTTATGAGTTTCTGTTGTGCTGCTGCCTTTTTTCAGGGCTGCCCTGCCCAGTGAAGGGAGCCTAGTCACTGTCTGCTTGCAGAGGCTTTGCTGAGCTGCTGTGGGCTCTGCCCAGCTGCTGTGTGAACCTCCCTGCAGTTCTGTTTATATGGGTATAGTTAGAACTGCCTCGGCAATGGTGGCCCACGTCTATAATGGCGGACTCTCTCTGTAATGGTGGGCTGCCTCAGCAATGGCAAACTACCTCCATAGTGGTGGACTGCCTTGGTAATGGCAGATGCCCCTTCCCCACAGAGCTGGACCATCCCAGGTTCAGCTGTGCTTGCTGTCAAAATCTCAATCCAGGGCGTTTCTGATTGCTGTTATTTTGTGAGGGTGGGACCAGCTGAGCCTGATCTCCTGGCTCCCTGCCTCAGAGCCCTCTTTTTTTTATTTTAGTTGAATGCTCGACCCTGTCTCCCAGGTGTTCCAGTAGCCTGTTGAAAAGGCGCCGGGATCTGATTTCCCATGCGGCAACCCACTGTGCCAGCTGAAACAGCCACGCTGAGATTCATGGCGCTTTTTTTCCCCCCATTTATTTATTTTATTGAATTTTAGGTTTTGGGGTACATGTGAAGAACATGCAAAATTGTTGCATAGGTACACACGTGGCAGTGTGATTTGCTGCCTTCCTCCTCTCCATCACCTACATCTGGCATTTCTCCCCTTGCTATCTCTCCCCAGCTCCCCACCCCCCACCATCCCTCCCCTATTTCCCCCCAACTGACCCCAGTGTGTAGTGCTCCCCTCCCTGTGTCCATGTGTTCTCATTGTTCAACACCCGCCTATGAGTGAGAACATGCGGTGTTTGATCTTCTGCTCTTCTGTCAGTTTGCTGAGAATGATGGTTTCCAGGTTCATCCATGTCCCTACAAAGGACCCAAATTCATCGTTTTTGATGGCTGCATAATATTCCATGGTGTATATGTGCCACATTTTCCCTATCCAGTCTATCGTCGATGGGCATTTGGGTTGGTTCCAGGTCTTTGCTATTGTAAACAGTGCTGCAATGAACATTCGTGTGCACGTGTCCTTATAGTAGAATGATTTGTAATCCTTTGGATATATACCCAGTAATGGGATTGCTGGGTCAAATGGAATTTCTATTTCTAGGTCCTTGAGGAATCGCCACACTGTCTTCCACAATGGTTGAACTAATTTACACTCCCACCAACAGTGTAAAAGTGTTCCTATTTCTCCACATCCTCTCCAGCATCTGTTGTCTCCAGATTTTTTAATGATCGCCATTCTAACTGGCATGAGATGGTATCTCAATGTTGTTTTGATTTGCATTTCTCTGATGACCAGTGATGATGAGCATTTTTTCATTTGTTTGTTGGCCTCATGTATGTCTTCTTTGGTAAAGTGTCTGTTCATATCCTTTGCCCACTTTTGAATGGGCTTGTTAGTTTTTTTCTTGTAAATCTGTTTTAGTTCTTTGTAAATTCTGGATATCAGCCCTTTGTCAGATGGGTAAATTGCAAAAATTTTTTCCCATTCTGTTGGTTGCCAATTCACTGTAATGATTGTTTCTTTTGCTGTGCAGAAGCTGTGGAGTTTGATTAGGACCCATTTGTCTATTTTGGCTTTTGTTGTTAATGCTTTTGGTGTTTTGGTCATGAAGTCCTTGCCTATGCCTATGTCCTGAATGGTTTTGCCTAGATTTTCTTCTAGGGTTTTTATGGTGTTAGGTCTTATGTTTAAGTCTTTAATCCATCTGGAGTTAATTTTAGTGTAAGGTGTCAGGAAGGGGTCCAGTTTCTGCTTTCTGCACATGGCTAGCCAGCTTTCCCAACACCATTTATTGAACAGGGAATCCTTTCCCCATTGCTTGTTTTTGTCTGGTTTGTCAAAGATCAGATGGTTGTAGATATGTTGAGTTGCCTCCGAGACCTCTGTTCTGTTCCATTGGTCTATATCTCTGTTTTGTTACCAGTACCATGCTGTTTTGATTACTGTAGCCTTGTAGAATAGTTTGAAGTTTGGTAGTGTGATGCCTCCCACTTTATTCTTTTTGCTTAGAATTGACTTGGCTATGCGGGCTCTCTTTTGGTTCCATATGAAGTTTAAGGTGGTTTTTTCCAGTTCTGCGAAGAAGGTCATTGGTAGCTTGATGGGGATAGCATTGAATCTGTAAATTACTTTGGGCAGTATGGCCATTTTCACGATATTGATTCTTCCTAACCATGAACATGGACTGTTTCTCCATCTGTTTGTGTCCTCTCTTATTTCGTTGAGCAGTGGCTTGTAGTTCTCCTTGAAGAAGTCCTTTATGTTCCTTATTAGTTGTATTCCTAGGTATTTTATTCTCTTTGTAGTAATTGTGAATGGCAGTTCATTCTTGATTTGGCTCTCTTTAAGTCTGTTATTGGTGTATAGGAATGCATGTGATTTTTGCACATTGATTTTGTATCCTGAGACTTTGCTGAACTTGCTTATCAGTTTCAGGTGGATGGGGTCTTCTAGATATACAATCATGTCATCTGCAAATAGAGACAATTTGACTTCCTCCTTTCCTATTTGAATGCCCTTTATTTATTTTTCTTGCCTGATTGCTCTGGCTAGAACTTCTAATACTATATTGAATAGCAGTGGTGAGAGAGGGCATCCTTGTCTGGTGCCACATTTCAAGGGGAATGCTTCCAGTTTTTGCCCATTCAGTATGATATTGGCTGTTGGTTTGTCATAAATAGCTTTTATTATTTTGAGATATGTTCCATCAATACCTAGCTTATTGAGCGTTTTTAGCATAAAGGGCTGTTGAATTTTGTCAAAGGCCTTCTCTGCATCAATTGAGATGATCATGTGGTTTTTGTCTTTGGTTCTGTTTATGTGGTGAATTACGTTTATAGACTTGCGTATGTTGAACCAGCCTTGCATCCCCGGGCTGAAGCCTACTTGATCATGGTGGATAAGCTTTTTGATGTGCTGTTGCAATCGGCTTGTCAGTATTTTATTGAAGATTTTTGCATCTATGTTCATCATGGATATTGGCCTAAAGTTTTCTTTTCTTGTTGAGTCTCTGCCGGGTTTTGGAATCAGGATGATGTTGGTCTCATAAAATGATTTGGGAAGAATTCCCTCTTTTTGTATTGTTTGGAATAGTTTCAGAAGAAATGGTACCAGCTCCTCTTTGTATGTCTGGTAGAATTCAGCTGTGAACCCATCTGGACCTGGGCTTTTTTTGGGTGGTAAGCTCTTAATTGCTGCCTCAACTTCAGACCTTGTTATGGGTCTGTTCAGGGTTTCGGCTTCTTCCTGGTTTAGGCTTGGCAGGAGGCAAGTGTCCAGGAATTTATCCATTTCTTCCAGGTTTATTAGATTGTGTGCATAGAGTTGTTTGTAATAATCTCTGATGATGGTTTGAATATCTGTGGAATCTGTGGTGATATCCCCTTTATCGTTTTTTATTGCAT